CCTTAGTGCCCCCAGGGAGGACCTTAGTGCCCCCAGGGAGGACCTTAGTGCCCCCAGGGAGGGCCTTAGTGCCCCCAGGGGCGATCTTAATGCCCCCAGGGAGGGCCTTGGTGCCCCCAGGGAGGACCTTAGTGCCCCCAGGGAGAGCCTTGGTTCCCCCAGGGAAGATCTTAGTGCACCAGAGAGGACCTTAGTGCCCCCGGGGAGGACCTTAGTACCCCCCAGGGAGAATCTTAATGCCCCCAGGAAGGACCTTAGGGCCCCCAGGGACGATCTTAGTGCCCCTAGGGAGGATGTTAGTGCCCCAGGGAGAAGCTCACTGCCCCAGCAAGGACCTTAGGGCCCCAGGAGACACTCACTGCCCCTGTGTATACTTGACCTCTGGGTGGCTTTCTCCTCTCCTCCTCTCAGGCCAGGCAGTCTGAGTAAACTGTGAACACTGTCACAAGGATACGATCACTCTGTCAAACCCCAGCCATAAACAAACTCATAAAGCCTGCAGGTCCCTGCTTTAGTGGGACCTCACTGTTGAGAGAAAATGCTTGTGGAAATAACTTGGTGTGGGGGGCGGGGGGTGCCGAGTACTTCACAGAAAGATGGGAAGGAACTCAGGGGCCTGACATGGGAAAGAAGGCCTCACCTAGAGATAGAGTTTCTCCATCTTCCAAGAAGCTACAGAATGGCTAGGAAGACAGCCCATCGATCAAATGCTTTCCTTTGGAGCGTGAAGACCTGAGTTTGATTAGCCAGCCTAGACTACCTAGTGAACTCCAGCCTGGTCAGAGCCCCTGGGAGTGAAAGCAGAGACTGTCCTCTGGCACACACGCGCACACACACATACACACAGACACACACACACACACACACACACACACACACACACCTTCAAAACAGCTAATAAATCCAAATTGCCTAATGAGATAATGTGTGTTTCTCTACAGACAGGTCAGACACGGATGTCAGAAACAAGAAACAAGCAATGTTTACTAAGGGCCAGGATGCTTGCGACCTCCAAGTTTGCTGTATTTGCCTTCCTGTTTGTCCCTAAATCTAAGCAGTGCACTTCATATATCACCCTAAAATTTCACTTACAAATGGAAGAGAAGAGAAAACAAGCCAGTTTGTGTGTTGCTTGAGTGTTAAAGTTTGCTTGAATGTTAAGTTTTGCTGGGTCTTTAAACCCTGTACACTGCGGGAAGGCAACAGAAATCTTCAGGACTGTGTTCTGGGGAGAGGCTCAGTGGGTAAGGTGATTGCTGGACAAATACGAGGACCTGAGTTCAATCCCCACAACCTGTGGTTTTAAAATCCTGGCACTGGGAAGGTAAGGCCAGCCAGAACATTAGGGCTCCCCAGCCAGCCAACCAGATTCAATAAGTGAGCCATAGGCCAAAGAGAGACCCTGTATTAAAAAAAAACCAAACAAAACAAAGTGGATGTCATATGAGGAGTAACATCTAAGGTGGTCCTCTGGCCTCGACACACACACACTTACACAACACACACATGAACAGAGATACACACACATGCACATGCATGCACTGTGCACACACACATGAACACAGACATACACACAAAGAAACAGCCACCATGTAGACACCTCAGCAGACTCTCTGGGGACACTCACAATGCAATGTCTCTGTCTAAATCCTTCATAAATGCTTAACTGCTCTCTGGCCCATCCTGAAACGTGTTTCTGTGTCGATGTTGGGATTAAGGCTTTACTCCACTGAAGGCCTCTGAAATGGAAGAGAACACGTTGGCAGCTGGTGACTGAGCTGACCCCACGGTCTCAGGGGCATCACAAGTTCCTAAATCCAAACTCGGCCTGAGGTGAGAAGCTTGTACCTCACAAGCAGTTGATGGTGAAGGGCTTCTTACCTCATAGAAGCCAGGAAGGGGGAAGGGAGAGATGGAAGTAAAGACACAGATAGATGAGGAACAACATAGCCCTTCAAAGGCTTCTCAGTGTCCCCCTTGGGCCCCAGGGCTGGCACCCTTCACCAGCATCCTCTGCTGGGGACCACACGTCTTTGGAGGGACACTTCATATTGAAACTACAGTAGTCACGAAGAGGGGATCCTACACACGTGTCCGACGACAGAACCTTGGCCGGACCACAGATCATACAAAGAGGCTTCCCACACACACCTCACACAGAACACTACAGGGAGAACCATCAGCTCAGCGACTGCCCATCCTAACCTGATTGCCTGGTTTCCTCTACATCCCCAGTGTGTGGTGCATGGCAAGTTACACAGTCCCCCAGTTCCCTGCTGCGGGCTTGCCTAGAGTTCCAACACCCCATGGAGGAGGTCCTTCTAGAATACCTGAACTCTCCCTTCCAAGACAGACTGCGGCCACTGAGGCCTGTTCCACCCATTATTCCTCCCGAGGCCCCTGGACAGAGCTCTGGGGCTAATGCTGAGGGACTGTGCTGTGGTGAATATGAGCCCTCAAGAATAAGACGAAGCACAGGGGCCCCACAAGTTCAAGGGCATCCAGGCACCAGGCTCCCGCCTCAGCCTTAACGCATACCAAACGACATCAAAGCCAGAGCAGGGAGCGCTGGCAGTGGTCTCTAGCAAAAGGAACTGCTGCTTAGGCCCCGGCCCACCCCAGTCCTGCCTCAGACCCATCACCACCAGAGCAAGGTGTAGCAGAGGACTAGCCATAAGCTACTGAGTCCCCAAGATGAGTCTCTCCATCCAGGCCAAAATGAGAGAAGGAAAGCCCACCTCAGTCATTTTAGTTCTACCTTTACCTGCAAGGACTTAATGGCAAACTTCAAAGAGAAAGGGGACAGACATGGCCAGCTCGGTGCACTCAAACGTTTGGACTTTCCAGCAGCACAGATCTGACTACCCTACCAATGGAGCCCAGCCCCAGTCTCTGACCACTGCTGTCTCCTACCCAGTAGACATCAGTAGAGCTGGCCAAGGTGCCTGGCTTAGAACAACACACAGCCAGGGTATTTACAAGCAAGGTGGCATCTTCCGGCTGATGAGGGCTCTCCAGGAACCAGTTCCAAACACCAACAAGGAAAGAATCACTGTGAAGGACCGCCTGCACCAACAACACTCCGTGTACAGGGTATAAAAGCTGACAGCCAGCCCCTCACACTCACACACTCACTCACTCACTCACACCTCACTCTTCTCCATCCAACCCCACCATGGCCGCCTCCACCATGTCCGTCTGCTCTGACGCTTGCACCAACTCCTCCTGGCAGGTGGATGACTGCCCAGAGAGCTGCTGTGAGCCCAGCTGCTGCCAGTCCAGCTGCTGTGTCCCCAGCTGTTGTGCCCCCAGCTGCTGTGTCCCCAGCTGCTGTGCCCCAGCCCCCTCCCTGACCTTCATCTGTACCCCAGTGAGCTGTGTGTCCAGTCCCTGCTGTCAGTCTATCTGTACGAGCTCCTGTGAACCTTCATGTTGCCAGCAGTCTAGCTGCCAGCCCTCGTGCTGCCAATTCTGCTGTGTACCTGTTTGCTGCAAGCCTGTCTGCTGCACACCAATCTGTTCTGACTCCTCATGCTGCCAGCCAACTTGCTGCACCTGCTCTCCTTGCCAGCCATCCTGCTGCATGACCCTGTGCTGCAAGCCTGTCTGCTGTACCCCCATCTGCTCTGGATCCTCATGCTGCCAGCAGTCTAGCTGCCAGCCCTCATGCTGCCAATCCTCCTGCTGTGTGCCTGTCTGCTGCAAGCCTGTCTGCTGCAAGCCCTGCTCCAGCGTGTCCCTGCTCTGCCGCCCTGTGTGCAGACCTGCCTGCTGTGTGCCCAGCTCCTCCTGCTGTGCCTCCTCCTGCCAGCCCAGCTGCTGCAAGCCCTGCTCCAGCATGTCTCTGATCTGCCGCCCAGCCTGCTCCCGCCAGGCCTGCTGTGGTCTCTGCTCTGGCCAGAAGTCCAGCTGCTGCTGACCTGACCTGTGGGGGGCGCCAGAGCTCAGTTCCTTCCTTCTCTCACAGTGCTGTAGGGGTTGGTTGCAGCATCAGCTTTGGCACCAGTATAGCATTATAGCAAAACTCCGTGATGTCACACCCCGACAGCTGGTGCCCACCCTCCCGCCGGCAGCTTCCAATAAAGACCTGGTAGCACTCCAAATACGCAGCATGCCTCTGCTTTCCCCAATGCATGTTTTGCCCTGCCATTAATAAACCTCTCTTCCTGGCCTTTGAGTGTCCCTCTTCCTGCCTCATGCAAGGGTCAGGGATATTCTGAGAGCATTTCCAGGTGACTCTCAGGATTTGGACTGTCTCGCCTCTGACTGAAGTCCCCAGTGGAGTGTGGCTGCTGGATGGCAGCCCAGTAAGTCCCCGGCAAGAGAACCCTGCATCCCCAAGTCTCACTATCCCTGGTTGATTGTAACTGTCCAAGGACAGGAGGGATGTGGCATAACCAAAGCATAGTGCGTCCTGAGCAGTCCCCTGTACGACTTTATTTAAATGTCCCAACCTGTAGATTTCTGTCCCCGTGAAGAGTACAGCCTGGGGGTGGGGGAAGGGTAGCAAGGAGAAAGAAGTCGAATGGCAGATGGTTCTTTGTCCACCCTCTGGGGGTTGGGGCCTGTACCGGCTGTTCTCTCTCTCTCTCTCTCCCCCCCCCCTTGGGCCAATCTGGATGTCCCCCACATTTCCAGAGCCACAAGCATGCCATGCTCTCTTGGCCACAGTCACATTCTGGCCTTCTGTCCCTCTCCACCCTGACACCAGTGCCCTCTCAGCCCTGAGCCCTACTCTGCCCATGCAGGAGAGAACGGAGTGGAAGTGAGCAGGTTTCCAGGCGGTAATCCCAGGAAATTGAGAACCCTAACACCTCAGGAGCCTCTAACTTTCAACAGGCCTGGACCATGCCCAGTGTGGAAAAGGCTCCTTGGGAACTCTGCTCCTGCCCACACACCACGCTTTCCTGCCTTCCAAGGCTGTGAAGACAGGTGGCACCCTGTCTCTGCCCTCCCTCTCTCCTGGGGACCTTCCTGTCAAAGAAAGGAAAGAGAAGTTGGCTCCCACTGGGAGCCAGCAACCTCCTGAGAATTCACTCACCAGATATGTGGAACGTCCTCTCTCTATGACTGAACCCCTACCCCATCCTATCCTCTGCCATGTCTGAGACCAGTGACCTGAGGGCCCTGAGCACCACACTGCTTGCCACTGCTGGAGAGCAAAGCCATTAGCTCTTCTCAGAAAGTTCCCAGAACACAGACTGCTAGACCCCACAGGGACAGCTGTGTGGATAGTGATGAAGACATTTCCTACCTGACACCAAACCCCCATCTTGTCACCTCATTTGCATGCTAAGCACCAGGAAACATTTGACAAGAGCAAAGAGGGGCCTCCCCGGGTCGCCTCTAAAGCCAAGAGTGACGACTGGGAATACTCATGGAAGCTTCCCCCCACTTCCCATGTGCTGGGCACAGCAGCCCAGGTCGGGGGAAGACAGAATGGAGCATGCACCTGTGACCTCATAGACATTCAGAGCGGCTCAATGCTCAGCACAGAGTAGAACCACAGAGACTTAAACCTGGGCGAATCCTCACTGGCCTCTCAAGCGTCTTACGATGTAGCTACATAATATCAGCCTGGTTTTATGTGCATTTCCTCCCTGGCTCACTATAACTGGGTCATCTTTTAACTATTCAAAACGTAACTCTAGGCGAGAGGGGGCGGGCTTTATAAATAACCTTTATTATCATGTGCAGGTCGGCTGTGCTCTCCAGGCTCAAGGAACAAGAAGGCACATGTTCGTGACTCATCCCGGCCCCGGAAGCATGGTCGCGCTCACGACTCCCAGTCAGGCCTGCACAGGGTCCCTCTGAGGCACACTTACACGCTCCCCTGCATGGGGTGACCCCACATAGGAGGGGTATCTCTTGGAGTCAGGGGATTTGCGTGGTGACAACCGACTTAGCCCCACACAGCTGATGAAGCCCCACATTCAAAGCCATCGCTGCAGGTGCGGCTGCCAGAGAGCAGAATCCAGGGACCCAGGGGCTTCTGTTCTGTCTCAGATTCCCGCTGTGGTCCTGTATCAGGGCCTCAGGACCTTCTCACCCACGGCCCGTGATCTAACGATTGCTGGAACTCACAGTCAGTCACACCATCTATGCAGACCAGTGATTCAAAACCAGATCACAGGATCAACTCCTGGACATGTCACGGAGAGTAACAGCCCAGTGCATGCAGGAACCTCACACTTCCTGGCAGCCAAGGAGGAGGCATGCACATGAAACCACAGCCAACCGGCACACTTGTCTGTGAGGTCCCCGTCACCAACTTGCAAGCCCCCAGTAGGTCTGGCTACCAGATTTAACCATCTTACTTCTTTATTCCATAAATTGTGACTTGATAAATAGGACCTCTTGTTGGGACCCCTAGGGCAGCGTGCTGTGGTCACTACTGCTCCCAAGTGGTCTCTCTAGAAGAGAAGGAGGCCCGCGGTGAGCCCACCCTGAGGAGCTCCAGGCTGAACCCAGGTGTGGGTTGTGGGTGTGTTTGGGGCTGGGCCTGTGTTTCTCCTTCAACTGGGGACAGAGCCAGGCCCGTGGCGGCCCAGAGCTTTGCTAAGTGCAGGTTGGATAGCTCATCCCCATGCCAGGAGCCCGAGGGCCGGGGACTTCATTCCTGAAGCAGGTGCTTGGCCTTCCCCGGCAGCCAAGCAGGTAAGTACATGCGAAGCCTCCATGGCTGCTCTTAGCTCTTTGAAACTTGAAACTCCTCCCACATCTGGCAGCTCAAGAGAGACCTTCTATTGTGACTGTCTGTGCGGTCCCCCTCTATTGTATGCCCCTGTCCCCCGTAACCCCACCGTCTGTCCATGTCCAGCTCTCTAGGAGGCCAGCATCCTACCACATGCAGTGACCAGATAGCAGGAAGTCACATATCCAACTCCATTCCCCTCCGAGCCCACAAAAGATGGCCTACCCAGGTCCCCATGTGACCACCTTACCTGTGCAGGGCTCCCAGTGTTGGGCGCCACAGCGGGGGGTACCCAGAAGCAAGAGTGCCACACACAGCGTCAGCAGGGCAGACATGAGGGGCTCGGGTTCCAAGATCCATCCAGGGGCTCCACTCGCCTGCAAAGGCAGTTACTACTAATTCCCTGCGAAAGGCAATCTGGGCCCTAGGTGGTCACTGCGATGAGCCCATGTCAAAGTCTGCAGAAGGACAGAGGTGGCCCAGGCAGCAATGACAGCCCCCAGTTGTTCTGCAGTAGCAAAAGGCAGGTGGCCCTGGCAGGCTGGGGCTTCAGCTGCAGGCAAGGGCTTATCTCTCCACTTCCCCGCTGGGCTTGGGTCCCGCGTGCAGGTGACAAGAGTATCAATCTTCAGGACCGGGATTAGTCATTGGCAAAGCTCACCCTCCTGAAGGAGAGACAGAAATAGATCCTTCAGCGGTGTGCTGAGAACAAACCAGAAAAACTTAGAAAACCAGTTTTTCTTGGGTGCAGATGACGGTGGAGTGCTGTCGCAGGGGACTCGGTGCAGGTGACCTTGGCAGACCGGGAGTTAGCGATGGGGACAGGTGCTCTGCCGGTCCACCTCGCGCTCTGCCCTCAGCTGGAGTGGTGTCCCCAGAGGCCTCAGCATTCGGCAGGGGTCAGTCTTAGGTCCTGCAGGACGTCTGGTCCTCTGTCCTGGGCTGGGATCAGGATCAGTTTCAGAGGCGGTGGTGACAGCGGCACGTCTGCCCTGCTGGGTCCCACACCGTCCCCAGGAGGGCTGGCTTTGAGGAGGGCTTTTTATCTGGTGCCCAGCCCTCAGAGGGTGTGTGGGTTTGTCAACTGTTGGCTTCAGGAATTCCCCTGTGGGGGGAGCCATCCTTAAAGAGAGCTGTTCCAGAGGAAAGGGGTTAGGGTGGCCTGCGGAGGGTGTGCTGCCTGTGTGCTCAGTTCCCGAAGGGAGGCTTTGAGCTCAGCAGGAGCCCCTTTCCCAAGCCCCTAAGACATACTATTTTCCCCAGCTTCAGAAGGAATGTCCCAGCTCAGAATCCAGGCAGAGCCTGATTCTATGTGTGCTTGCAAATGGTAGACCGTGTGTGTGTGTGTGCGCATGTGTGTGTGTGTACGCACGCGTGTGCACACGTGTACAAATGGTAGACCCTGTGTGTTTGTGTGTGCAAACGCATGTGCGCATGTGTGCAAATGGTAGGCCCTGTGTGTGTGTGCAAACAGTAGACCCTGTGTACGTGTGTGTGCAAATAGTAGAACTTGTGTGTGTGAGTGAATGTGCACATGCACACACGTATGCAAATTTTAGACCATGTGTGTGTACACAGACATGTGCTCGTGTGTGCAAATGGTAGACCCTGTGTGTGCAAACAGTAGACCCTGTGTGTATATGTGTGTGGAGAAAGTTTAGGGGGATGTGGGGGAAGGGAGTGCCACAAACCAGCAAGGGAGAGAGGACAAAGATGGATGGAGAAGACAGAAAGAAGTGGGGAAAGCCCCAGCTCAGCGCCCTGGCAGTGTCTGATTCAGGGGGTGACAAGAGAGACAAACGGAGCGGAACAAGACAGGGACAGAGAAAGAAAGGAGAAGGTCCTGGAGGGTCTCTATGCAGGGCACGAGCATTCTGTTCTTCCCTTCTCCCTGGAGACCCAGATCCGCAGTTTCTGACCCAGTGAGAGGGCCCTGGACTCGTGGTGACCAGGATATCTGTGAAGAAAACCTTGAGGAGATACTTCTTGTACACAACTACCCTTTTCCTGGCCCAGGGGAGCTCCGACACTAGGTCTCTGGCTCAGTGCTGCTCCTTCCTGGTGGAATACATGGAGCAGGATTTCCCGAGGTCCCCTTGCGGATCGCGCAACTGTGAGAGCTTATGTGCAGCCGGCTTCACCATGACCCTAGCCGTCAAAGGAGAGATGCATCATTCCCGGGGAGCAGCAGCCTGATCTGAGGGTGGGAGGTGGGAGGTAGGAGG